ATGCAGTCCCAGATGGCCGGCCTCAACATAGGGTCTGTAGGAGGGATGATGGGTGCGCAGCCTCCCCTCATGGGTCAGCCCCAAGGCATGGTTGGTGGAATGCCAGGAATGATGGGAGGAATGGGTGTTGGAGGAGCCCCGGCAGGTGCAGGGGGCCTTCCACAAGGCATGGGTGGTCACACTTCTGCCAGTGGGCTCGGAGGCAACACCACCTTGGCCACCAACTTGTGGCAATAACTATTGTGTAAGCTAGGTCTCAGTTTTTATACCTCAGCCAGACTCTGTGGTGCTACATGCTGGATTGAAATGGCCGAGGTAACACTGCGTATGCTCTGGGTGAGTTAAGGACTTGTATAGTGGGTGTGTTGGGACCAGGTATGAGGATGGAATGATGGCACTGCACAGACCAGCAGCGCCAGGCCTGGAGTGCCAGATATACAGATGTACAGTTGTGGTCGTAGGGGTCTGGGTTCTTTTTGTTGCTAAGGGTAAACAATGTTTATATACTCATATTGTTCCCATTTGTTATGAAGTGTATCCTGGATACATATTTGGTACTGAATATAATCAACTATAGGAGAGAGAGAAAAAAAAAAAAAAAAAAAAAAAAATCTGCTCCAGATGAACATTTTCTCCAATTTAGATGTTGAAGCCTTAAGGAGGAAATAGTTATCAAAGTAGCTATTTTATAATGGTGATAGTGTTTCATGGTGCAAATAACGTTGCAAATAAAGCTTTACTTCTGCTCTGAAACCAAACTGTATGAAGTAATCCTGTGTCAGGGACTTAATCAATGAATGCCAAATGTTTGTACAGATGTGCACTATCCATATTAATCTATGATTTTACGTTGTGTATAATGTAATTTTTTTTTTCCAAAATGAAGATCTGTAGCTTGCAAAGTAAGTGTTTTGAAGGCAGTATAGAACTTGGCTCATATATGATAGAAGCTGTTGGCCTGTAATTATATTCATAGGATTTTATTTTTTATTTTAGTGCTGACTAAAGAGCTAAACATGAACTATACATGTATTTGGATATATAGATTGTTTTGGATTTTAGATTTTTTTTTTTCTTTTGTTATGAAATCAGATTGAAGACAGTTTTTAATAAGGGTCATTGACTAATATTTATCTATTTTATTCAGACCTTGTTTGCGTATTCCAACATACGAAAATTAATTGATTTAGTACTGGTTTTGAAGATTTCCACCCCTTTTTTTGCATATTGGGGTTGGCTAGATTAGACTGTTTGGCTAGTGTAAGAAAATAGGTGACTTGAGAAAAGTATTGCGTGTGTTCATTTTTCTTGTTTTTATTTCATTTCAGAACTGAAAGTATATGAATAGTTTTGGTATAATGTACCTTTGGGATGGCTAGATAGGTTATATGGCTAGTGTAAAAAAAGAAAAAGAAAAAAAAAGAGCGAAGGAAATCCTTGACCCTAATAACATATCACAGTTTATCCCTCCCCCCCCCACTGCTTCCTTGACAAAAGGTTATCATTCCTTGTGTCACACCATACTTGGTCTGGTGAAAATATGACCAATTGCAGAACAGATTAGTAGAGTGGGTGAATGATGCACTTCACTTTGTGCAAGTGTAGGTATCAGCCAGTTAATCCCATATATTGGTTTGAAATGCCAAATATGTACATTGCTTGTTTCCAGGTGTCATTTTCTGTTTTCCCTTTCAAGTTGTAGCTTGAGGTAAAGGCTCCTCTTCTCACAGCACAAGATCACAGTAAAAGATAATCGAAATTTCATCAGGGACAGTGCCTATAAATGCCACTGGAATGGCATTCTGTATTGCACAGTTGTGCATAGTGCATATGCACAAACTCAGAGCACACACATGTGGAGACAGACACAGGCACACATCCAGCTGTACACACATGAAAATGATGAGAAGCAAACAAACACACACACGCACACACGCACGTGTACACACACACTCACGTATACACACACACGCACGTATACACGCACACATACACACGTATACACACACACATACGCACGTATACACACACATACGTACTTATACACACACACATACGCACTTATACACACACACATACGCAGATGCAGACACGCACACGCACACATACAGATACGCACATACAGACACGCACACACGCACATACAGACATGCACACAGACACGCACAGACATGCACGCACAGACATGCACGCACACACACGCACACGCACACGCACACACGCACACGCACACCCACACACGCACACACACACACACACACACACACACACACACACACACACACACACACACACACACACACACACACACACACACACACACACACACACACAAAATGTGTACACATCCAGAAAATAAATTCATATATAGTCATAAAAAGCAATAAGTGAAGTTATTTAAGATTTTTTTTTTTCTTTGTAAAGATTTCCGAAGTTCTGAAGTATTTTTCTGCTTATACTGAGATTTGTAGCAGTTGCATAATATTTTTATGCTTTCTCTTTGCAGACAAATATGGCATTGCATAGATCATACGGTGTTTCTCCAGTGTTCATTATTTATATGGCTACTATCCTTTCGTACAGGTGTTTGCGTGAAAATGAGTTCAAGGGATTAGTACAAGGAAGATCCTCAATCATTACTAGTCACATGAAGTCATGTTATTAAATTGTTGTAGACCCTAGTTGGGAAGGTGACATAATTTGTCGCTTTCTCTAAGCTGCATTTATGCATCTGAAATTCCCTTCTTCTCCCATAGATGCTATCTCATTTAATAATGATAATGATGCTGATCTTTGACTTCAGTTGCTCATATTCAGAGGTCAATGTGCAGAACAAGTGAAGTGTATAACAGACCCATTTTATCAATATCCGTAATAACTTTTAAGTTATGCCTCTTGCATTTTTTTTTTTTTTTGTATAGAACATGGTGTATTCAGTAGATATTTTGTTTGTTCATGTCTGCCTGGTTATTTCCAAACTAGTAATATCATGTATCAGTATTTATTTTGTGTAGTGCTTTTGATGAATATTCAGACCGACAGTGCTGCCTTCTACGATATTTTAAGGTTATATTTATGTTACCGTTTTATGAAATAGAGCTTCATTACAGCATCTTGCTCTCTGATGACAATACTATGCAAAGTGGTTGTCAGTATTATGATGGGCCAAATTGGTAGTTATTGTATTAAACTTTTTGAAGATAATCGCTGACTTGATACCAAAGATTAAGCAAGTAGAATGGATAATGTAAACTTAAAAGATTTGATTAATCACCTTTTCTTTTTACCTTTTTATGAGATGTTTTATGTTAAAAAAAAATAGCCAAAATGTACAAAATGCCAGCTTGCGGATTCCTTACGATTTACAAACTGTTCCTCATGTCCAGATTTATCATGCAGAAAAGCAACAAACCAGGGCCCCCATTATATCTGAAGTTTATAAAATATCAAGGTATTGCAGTCCAAAACTACCATTTGAGGTACAGTCTGAATCTCCAAGAAAATCCAAACTTAAAGAGCGTGTTACGGTGGATGCAGCTGACCATATTAAATACTTGGCCCACCCAAGCTAAACATCAAGAAATTGTGAATTGCCAATACTCTTCCAATGATTCATCTTTTCCAGCAGTTGTGAGTATTGCCACAACTTATGAGAGGCAAGAGCTAGTTGGCAGTGTCTTTGGTAACTCCATTACTCTGGTCTTAAAATAGGTTAATGGGGGGCTAGTGCAGAAGAAGAATGCTATCAGTGGTCAGTGTTAGGTAATTACAGTAAAATCTAAATGTTTTTCCTTTTTAGCAACCAAGATGGACATTAGTTTGCTCAGTGTACTGTTTTTGTTTGGTCAGAAGAAATACTCTCACTCCTTTATTTCTCACTTTTAAAATCCAGGTATTTTGCTGAATATGCAATGTCACTAAAGCAAGTGAAATTAATTTACTATTCTGGGAAGAGACAGTCAAAAAGCTATGATATATATTTTTTTCTGAGAGTGTAAAAATTACTTGTATATTTATTTAAGTGAATGGTCATTTTTCTGTTGTTTCTAAACAATAATGACTAGATGTTATTAGATTTTAGAATAACAGTTTAAATTAAGAGTTTACTGTACTTATATGAACTGACCAGTTAGCTGAATAGAAATATAGCATATATATATCTTTCATTTACCTCCTTAAAGTTTATATTAGAAATTGTAATGTAAGTTCCATTATGCATTAACCTTTTTATTATAGGTATTACTGTGTTTGTCATTTTCAAGTGTATTGTGTATGTTATACCAGGGTACAGATCAACTTACATTCCATTTCAGGCAAAGTACCGTAATACTTCTAGAGGCTAGTCAGCTCAAATGTTTAAAAGCCGGAAGGTTTTTCTTTTACCCCTTTGAAGTTTATTATTATTTACAGTAAAGAAACAAAACAAAAATTTGCTTACTAATACCAACTGTGTTGATTATTAACCTTTTAGAACACTGAGCAAAGATATTAAAACTAATTGTTTCAAAACTCATAAAGACAGTGACATTTCACCTTCTGGAAACTGTTCTATGAATAATGTAATCATCAGCAGGTGATAATTCAAAGGAGAGTCTAATCATAATGTAAATATATAGATATATGTATAAATATATAGTAAACCACATTATTAGATTTGAGTCTGTGATTTATAATGGCTCCCATTGTGGCATAGAAAAATTATTGTATAGTAAGTACATTGGTCCATTTGCTTGTGTATGTGTGTTTATGTATGTGCGTTTCCGGATAAGAGGAGCGTGAGATAGTTTGATGTTGCTAATAAGATTATGTTCTGCATGGTATTTTGATTACATTTTCAAAAGACATTTCTAATCTAACCTGGTACTGGAAATGTTGATTTAGAGGATAGTATAAACTTGCCAGACACTTGTTGCTTAATTGGTTTAGTAAAATTTTCTTACCAAGATAGTTGGCATTACTCATTTATCAGAGTTTGAATATAATTGCATAAGAAAGACAGTGTGTTTTATTATTATTTATTTACTTAGTATTATTATAATTTGGTAGATTACTATTCTAAAGCTATTCTACTTTGAGTTCTGTATTTAAATGTCTTTCCTAATGACTTACAGGCAGAGATGTAAAGATGTCAAAATAAACTGTACTCTTGTATTTTATGTACAACATGTATAAATATTGCCTGAATTATGCTATATGAATGTTTAGTAATTTGATACTATACTGTTTCTGGCATATATTAGGGAAAAATTCATGCAAATACTTTTGATTGTTTGTGCACAGTAATTCTGTTTTCTATATCTGCATTGCTTATGTTTACATTTTTAAACACAAAATAAAGATTGCATAAACTAAGTATACTTCTTTTATTAAAAGTAACCTTTTTAGTGATATTCTGATATTCTATACGCAGATTTCTGTGTCATTGCATATGCTGCTTTACATATATGCACTCAATACAATGCTAACACACTCAAAACAGACAGTGGATTTATGACATATATACACTAATACCATTTGGGCCACTGACACTGGTCTTATACAGTTGTAGACATCGGCCTTACAGGGGATGGCCCAAGCTTTTACAGGATAACAAATATGTTTAGTGCATAGCATTCAAGGCTTTATGTATATAATGTAAAACTGTCATAATGAAAGCTTATGGCAACACACCGGATATGTATGTAAATGATTCTCAATTTGCAGGCAAGTGATGTTTTATAGGAGTTTTGGAAAGTGTATAGGCAGTGTTAGGATATTACCTACCAAATATTACTTAATAATTTCTCAACTTTATCCTATAGCAATTAATCTTCATGTCAGAAGATTATAGCATAGGGTGCTATATACAACCATTCAATGACTAGCCTGCACGAAACACAGCAAAATTATTAATGCTTTAAAAGGAACATTTAGCCCAGTGACAGTGAAGGCCACACAACAGAGATATCCCAGTCCAAAACTCTGGGACTGGGGTAGGCAGCCTTTCAAACTATTGTAGAGTATTGCATAAGACGATGAAGGAAAATGAAATTTTGATTAAAGAAAAAAAAAAAAAAAAAAAAAAAAAAATCGATGTACCTGGCAATAAATAGCAACATACAGGTACAAGGTATTGCCTTACCTACACTTGAAAATGACATCAGTATTAAATTCATTAACATTAATTTTATTATTATCATCGTAATAATTGCAGTAGTAAAAGGAAGCATTTGCGGAGTAGTGTTAGCCAGGAGAATAAGGGTGCATTTATCGTCCAAGATATTTTTGAAAAATCTGTTACAATAATTTGTAAAGTCATGGAAGGATCAGATTGATGCAAATATATGATGGTTATTCAATTAATTCATTGTAAGAACCAATAAAATTAAATACTTTATAGCCTACCTGATTTCATATATACAATACAACCGCGCATATGTGTGCATCTGTACATGTAATAGTTTGTTTTGCAGACTCCCAATACAATGACAAAATCTTCCAAAACAAGAAATATGAAATTTCTCTGAAAGAAGGTACAAAGATACACAGAACACGTGCATCCGTATTTCACATAAAGAACTTGTATCAAATTAAAAGAAAATTTTGGAAATGGAAATCATATTCACTGGTATATGGTGTCACCATTCGTGTTAAGAATAATATTATAATACCGAGAAAAAACGTAACTATTCAGTGATAACATATCCGAAGAATATAACTATGCATAGCATTAATGACATTTTTTTTTCTGGTCTGTCTGATTGAATGATGATAAAGATAATATTACTAATCAAAATTGACTCAAGTAAACCTATAATTCTAATAATACGTGATAACAGTAAATTTTTGGGCTCAATTTTAGAGATGCCTATCTCCTTTATAAACATATTCACCATTACTGCTAAAATCATGCAACCCTATTGCTTCCCAAATAATATGTAGGAGAAAAAAATAAAAAACACCAGGAACAAACTTCACGCACCATTCATTTTGTTGTGGTAACTCCAAAAACAAAAGTTTCGTTGCAGTATTTTCAATCCTTCTCTGTTGCCCTGTACTCTAATTACTTCAAAACTACGAGTAAATGAAAGACAGGAAAAAAGGGCTAATTTCTTATAAAAGTAAAGAATAATGTCTGACTTTTTACTGCCTTCTTCAGTATGGAGACGCTGCTGCGCTTTAGGTAATCAATGAAGTTTAATGAAAGAATATACTTAAAATTCACGCATATTTCTGATTATGAGGGTGGTATCCAACAGAGTAGTGTTTTTTGTCATTATATACCTATCATACTATTCAAAATTAACAGATATTCTACATGTAAATACTTTCAAGATCTACTGAATAAGAATGTAGATTGTAGTTTCCCTGAACAAAATATTACGGCCATTCCACAGTCTACTAAGATTACGTGAACGAAAGGAAACGAATAGATATCATATATACATCTTCAGCTTATCCTTCAAAGTAGCAAAAAGTGCGAATTAAAATTGATCATTCCACAAGATATTTAATTTACGT